TACTTAAAAAGTACTTCGGACTTGCCACACCAATTGAAATTGATGTAAGTGATCCTACCGCCTACCAACTTTTTCCTACACCGTTGTCTGTCTTGTTTGAAGCAGACGAACTTATCCAGTTGCACCACGGAATTGTCCACATCCTCATTGAGCCATTATTCCTGAAGACACAAGACACAAGAGATGTGAAATTCCTTTCGCTGGAGCAGGTAGGGTAAGTCCGGAAGCTTCCTAAACACAGAACGGACATTGTTACTCACAATGGTAGGCACGGTCATCTTGCTGAGAATAGTAAGACTAAGGGCGGTTTGCCAACCGGCACGAATGCGTTTTCCTTGTTTGCAGTATTTGTGCTCTTGACTAGCAACTGGCACTCCAAACTTGGCAATTTGGGTGTTTGCAATAACATCCTTAATTTTTAACATGAACTCCTTTGTGTAAATGGTTAAAACCCACATATTTAGAAATTTGGGCCGATAAAATTCAGAATGCGACGGCGGCGAGAAATTGTAGCGCAGCCGTTCAAGGGGCGCGCGTGACCTGGTTGCACAGGGGGGAGCACAGGATGTATGTGGAAGGAAACAAACCTGCGTCTATAGTAGAAAAGGTACTACATATACGAATAATAATAAAATCAAAGGTAAATAGAATCACTGGAAGACTGTCCGTTCGGTTGATGGATTCTGTTCCAGTTGATAATGTGCGGTGGAGCTGAAGAGAGTTGCTGTAACAGTTAACTGACCGCCTGACGGTAAATGCTGATGTACGCGTCGTCCTTCGGTAACACTCGGAGAATACTTGGGTAGTAACGAACGGAGTTTTTGTGTTGTGGTGTTTTTTGTTGTGTTTATTAAAAGAAGCTGTACAATAACGTCATATAAAAGTATATAGAAAGTTAAGACACTAAACGTCTGGATCTTTAGGGTTCTATATACAGCTTTTTTCGGCTGAAACACAACTGACCAGGAGACTGGCTCACATAGGTCCCGTCAGGCTCCCTGGCTGAGGACCTTGAGATCACGGTCACCAATGGTTAGAGACAATGAGAAAAATGTCTGGGTGTCGCAAAGAGTGGCGCTCATGCATGTTTTCATTGTTCTTGTAAATGCGCTATCTCCCGCTTGAATCTGCTCTCAAAATTGTAATCATCATTTTGCTGTTTTATCCAAATGGGCAACCAAAAGACAGTAACCCAAACCGGCGCACGAAAGTGCATGGTTAGT